CTTCTTAATGCAGCCCAGGATCCCATTGGCCTTCTTGGCCACGAGGGCACACTGCTGCCTCATGGTCAACTTGTCATCCACCATGACACCCAGGTCTTTCTCCGCAGAGCTGCTCTCCAGAAGGTCAGTCCACAGCCTGTGCTGGTGCCTGGGGTTATTCCTACCCAGGTGCAGGGCCTTGTACTTGGCCTTGTTGAATTGCATGAGGTTTTTCACCGCCCAGTTGTCCAGTCTGTCCAAGTCCCTCTGGAGTGTTAGCACAGGGTGTTAGCACGAGGTCCAGTAGCCCACCTCTCCTTGTCAGCTCCTCCACAACCTGCGTCAAAAAATTCTCATCAACGCACTGCAGTTCTTTGCTTGTAATATTAGCGTTAGTTTATGAGAATTGTTACCCAGCTAGATCTGTTAATAGTTGTTTTACATGATCAAAGTTTGCTGAGAAATAGACCAAAAGTCAGCAGCATTAACAAGCATAACAGCTAGTATTGAATCAGGACTAATTATTTGTTTCTTTATTCAATTTTTAAAATTCTGTAGCTTTTAATTTATATTTGCAGTGTGGAACTGCTTTATGCGGGTGTGATAATTTTTCTCTCCTAGACTGTGTACTTCTCAGTTTTCCATTTTCAGTGTTTATTTAACGGAAAACACTTTTCTGATTTTTTTTAAGAGTATTTTATTTTACATTGGAAGTTACTGATTTCATGGAAATGAGTTAAAGATACTTTCAGTGTTTAAAATTGTTTTAATAAGTTAAAAAATCTAACAGTAGAAATATATGTGGAGTAGAATTCATTTTGAAAGATTATGCAAGTTAAGTACTTAATTGCTTAAGCCCAGAGGATTTTTTTTCCCCAAAATTAAAATAATTCACTTGAAAAAAATACCTTGACGGCACATGTGCTTTCAGTGTGCTGTAATGTGCGATCTTGTTACTGGCTGATTTCTGTTCTGTTCCCCTTCTGCATTGTTCCCTCTCGGAAAGCCCTACCTTCCCTTGCAGAGGTGTGGGCAAAATTTTATAAAGTGTATAATTTTTTAAAGAGAATTTTTAGTAAGACTCCTGAATTATGTTTTCTGTATAATAATCTGAATGTATGATGACTAAATTTTCTTTTTTTCCCAGGAGTGATTAAAAAAACATTATTCTCATTTTCTTTTCCAGTGGTCTAATAGTCCCTGAAGTGCGTGGGAATGAAACAGTTCCTGAAGTAGTTACCACATCAGGCTATGCATTGCTACACTTCTTTAGTGATGCTGCTTATAACTTAACTGGATTTAACATTTTTTATACTCGTAAGTATTTTTTTTTTTTTAAAATTACTTTGTTACTCTATCATTCCCTTAAGGAAGATTGCAAACCTGAATGAAGTATTAATAGTGTCAAGGAGTTACGGTAAGTTTTTAAAACAAAGGGGTCAGAATTTGCAATAAATTCTTGTTGGCATAGTCACTTAAAAAAGATTAAGTACTTTTATTTTTTTTTCTCTTTTTCTTCCTGAGTCAATCCACATGAGTGCTGTAAGAGTATAAATGTGCTCTGTCACGTGGGGCTAGGAAGCTTTCCCCTTCCAGTATTGATCTGATGTACATATTTGTCATGTAGAATCTGCCATCACCTCAGCGCTCTTCCCTTTAACTAGAGTGCTCTACTCCTTGGTTTCTCCTTCTGAATGTACCTTTATGGATTTCACCAAAGTCCTCCTTTTATTCTTGCTCCAGCAGCAAGGGTTGTATCCCATCTTCTCTTCTGTGTTTCAAGCATTTCCCTCTCTTGCCCTCCCTCAGTCTACATTCAGTTTTTATCTGGACTGTTCTTTTGGTTTCTTTGATGACAAACTTGAACTACGCTTCCAACCTGTTGTCATGTCAGCAGCCCTAGAGATGCATCCAGCAGACTTGGGCCTCCTCCTTTTATGTTCCATCTGTGGATTCCAAGTTCTGTCTCACTTACGTGATGTGCCAAATCCCTTCCTAAGTGTCTCATCACAGTAGGTGCTTTGGTTCAAGACAGAATTGCGTGGTCCTGTTGCTTTCTCTGTTTGTCCCTGATTATGGATTTTCTTATTCCATTTTTTGAATCTGAGATTCAAAAAAATACGATTCTGAAATACTGATTTTTGGGATGTGGTAGCCAGCCCCACACTTCATATGTGGCATCGCATAAGATATTTTGTATTATATTCTGTATTAATTTAAAATTCCTATTTTCCTTTCTGATCATAGCTTTACTTTTAACATAAGTATTAATTAGATATTTTTCTATCAAAATTCCTTCTGTAACTTTCAGCAGTTTTCCATCCTTTTGCCAGATGATAAATAGCCAATCAGAGTTTGGGAATCCTCTCTAAATATGTGGTGTTGCAAGTGGCAGTCTGTCAGACTGGTATTTCTATCTTCTTTCAACATGTACCAAGCATCTCCATCACCAAAATACTGTATTTCTTTTCACTTGACATCAGTAAAATACGAGCAGCTGACAAACTTACCTCTACCATAGCTAGATACATTCTTCAGTTATTCCTGAAGATTTGATTACACTTTTTTTGGTTTTTCTTGGGTGGGAATGGCAATAGGACATAGCATTCTTAAGGAATGAGTGTGTATGTGTGTTCTACATTCTTTTATTACTTGGTAATGTGGTGTGTGCTCTGTGTACTTATATTATTATTTTGGAAGATTTAAAATAACAGAGAAAACCTGCCAATTTTTAATCTCTTACATATGTAGGGACATATAACTTATGAAATCAGATTTTCTCCATTTTTCCACTCCTAATGTTGTAGTAAATACTTGAAAAACTATTTTTAATGAGCCCATAGTAACTCTTTCTATGCTAAAAGAGATACATTCGCTTTCTTGTTACAGCTGCATTAAGTCTTGTCTGACATTCACAACTATTGTACTCTGCTTCTGTTACCTTCTCCTTTATTTGAAAGCAGCTATCAAACATTTCTTTGGACTTAATTTTTCTCTTCATCCCCTCATAAGCCCTTTATTTTGGGGAAGGCAGAATTGCAGCATCTGTGACTACTATGCTAGGTGCAGAGACCAGCAGTTATTCCAGATCTCTCTGAGAAAATCTGTGTGTTTCAATTTCACTGAATCCATTTACCCGGTTCTGTTTAAGTCATTAAAAAAAAGAACAAAAAATATAAAGGTGTGTTGGAAAGGGCGAATGTCCAATCTTAAGATGGGATCTCTATTCCTGGAAAGAAGTGAGTATTGCCTCCCATACAGAACATGCTCTCTGAGATGTGCCAAGCAATGACGCTCAGCTGTGGTGAACAGTTGTTAAGGCCAATGATCCCTTTAATGCCAAGTGTATACCAGGCAACCTCCCTTGATCCTCAGGACATTTCCACTTCAGGAGAGGATTTCTCTTCTTTCGTTAGTGAAACAGAAACAGTCCTCTGAGGTGAGTCTTGGGAAAACATTTCCAACCTGTCTGTCTTACAAGAACCACACTGGCCCAAAAGCCAGTCTTAAATCATTCCCATCTTGATCTTTCAGCTCTTCCTTCCATAAGAGCATGAAAGGTTTACAGTGGTGTCAGGTGCTTATGTCTGCAGGCAACAGTTCGTGTTAGCCCCAGTGCCAGGGGATTTTAGTAACAGTTTATTCTCAGTTTCAAGCAAATCCTTACCTGTAAATCACCAGAAAGTATCTCAAATCCTTTTTGAATTTCTGCAAGCATTTACTTCCTGACATCCCCATTCTGTTTGCGGAATCTCTTGGTCCCATGGTACTTCTGGGGCCAGGCTGCATCATTTTGCAGAGCCCGGTTTCCTCTGATCTCCGAGTTCTGCAGGGTGGATCACAGTGATGCTAAAGCCCCTGACAGTCACAGATTTCTTCTCCCTGCATAATCTTTCCTCTTAGCATCTCTGACTCTGCAGTGAAGGAGACAAGGTTAAGGTGGCTCTGAGGACTCTGAAGAGTAAGTGGCATCTTTAGGTAGCTACAGGATGTCTGCTATCTTGTGTGCTTTCTCCCTCTGTGTTTGTTCTCCCTGGATGCTAGAGAGCTAGTGGCCAAAGCCACTCAGAAAGAACTCTTAGCCGCTGCGTATGTCTCCGATGGAGACTGAAGAGCCTGGAAATCTTAACACAGAGATTTGCTCACTGTGTGACTGGCTGTGAACTGTAGTTGGCAAGTCAGGCAACCTCCTGAGTACAGAGCTTTGCTCTTAGTTGCCACCTGGATCCTCATTCACACTTTCAAGTTACTTTGGAGGCCCATTAATGGTCTACTTTTGGAAAAGTACCTTTGATTTGCTTGGGTTTCCAAGATCTTCCTCTGTGTAAGTAAGTGGCATTCATGAGAGCTGTTGCCTGAAGAAACTTCCATTGTACATAGAGATAAGCATTTGAAGGGACTGATTAGAGATAATTTACACAAGAACTCTCAGAAAATTCGATTGAGATGTCATCTGAGATCTTGCCTGTCCCTCTGCTTACTCTAAGTACTTCTTGTAAAGCGGATATTTGTTATACTGACTGTGTGTGTAAGCCTGGCTGAGCTCATTTTCAGCTCAGTAGTCTCTGCAGTGGTGACTGAACGTTAATTTTAGTAGCATTTTAGAAAATTTTCAGGAAAAGGAGCTTTATCCAGCAACTGCTGTTGGAATAGTGTCAGATACTCGTCAATTCTTAGTTTATTTGCCTTCTTTTATGTGTATTTTTGCAGAATTAATTCTTGTCCTAATAACTGCTCGGAACATGGGAAGTGCACAACCAGTATGTCTGCTCCAAGCCGAGTATACTGTGAGTGTGACAAATACTGGAAGGGAGAAGCCTGTGATATTCCGTATTGTAAAGCCAACTGTGGTAGCCCGGATCATGGATACTGCGATTTGACAGGCGAGAAGCTGTGTGTTTGCAATGATAGCTGGCAAGGTAAGGTTTTGTTATTATTTGTGTTTTGTTGATTCACAGTCTCTTTTTTTTTTATTCTTAATTTAATATCTTTTAAAAAGTAAACAACAATGAAAAAACATGCTTGCAGAAGCACATTTTCATGTGGACTCCGACACACACAGTTTAATGAAATAAAGGTCTAACAGCTTTGCATTCCATTTGCAGATACTGTAGAAGTATTGGGTCTAGTGGTTTTGTGGAGGACATGATGTTTGTCATTAATTTGAAGTGTGATGGGAATAATTGCACAAAAATTAAAGGCATACCAAGCACTTCTAAAGACTGAGCTCTTTCAGAGCTATTCTATTTTTTTTAAAACCATTTAATTTCTAGGTAATTGGATTTTCCCCCTCCTTCTTAATGTCAAATCAGCACTTAGTGGTGCTTCATGAAAGAAATATGCACTGTGTGGCTTCATTATTTTGTTGCCTGTGCACAGTACTGTGGGATAATGAAAGTGCTGTGTTGTAGGAATGGCTGCTGTAGTTTAGTTATACCCCCAGTAACTTTTTTGTACTCGTAGCATACATAACTGTTCCTTATTGAAAGTATATTATTAAGCTCCTGAATGTTTGCTCCACTTAAAATTGTACTAAATGCTTATAATTTTTTTAAATTTTTTTACCACCTTAAAAAGTCCCAACTGGATTAGCTTAACTACTCATTGAAATTGCCATTTCAAGAAATAGTTATCTCCAGTTTACTTAGTTGATATGCCCTCTTCCCATTCCTTTCTCCCCCTTTTTATTGCTATATATTTTTAAGTGTCATGGGATTTTTTTTTAACTTATATTAGCTGTCAGACCTGTTATACCAAAGAGTGTGAATTTAATACATTTCTTTTATTAATAATTAATTAAGTTGCTCCTGAAATGACAGTCAGTCTGCCCACAGTCTGTCTGTTCACACACGTGAACTGGCTTGGTAATAGGGTCACTGGAAGGAACCGGTGTATTGGCAGACATCCTGCTGAGGCCTTAAAAACATCTCATGTTCATAGCACCTTCACAAACGACAAGGATGACAAACCTTCCTAGGCCAATCTCTGGAATGAAGCTGTGAATTGAGTTTGCAGGAAGGATAACGCCTGTTCAGTTGGGCATTGATTGTGTGCCATTGCTGATTATTGCAACTGAAACTAGAAAAAAAACTCAAGTCTCTTGAATGATTTTTAAGATAAACCTTTGCTATAGTCTCGAGTAACATTTCTAAGCAGGAAAAAAAAATCCCCTTTCACTGTTAATATCTTCTTTTGATCTGGCATTTCTGTATTTAGTAACTTCCTAATCTTTCCTATAATAAATAGGATTTTAGAGAGACAGAATATGATCAGTTATTTCCTTATTTCTTCCCAAATCCACATAATCTTCAATTAATGTATTCTTTAATCTATGGTAGATGAGCTAGTTTGAATACATAGTTCTTTGAAAAACAAAACAACCAAAGACACAAAAAAACCCTCAAATCCATAAAGCTTTTGGACTTTCCAGAAGTCCTGTGGGAAGCTACTTGCAACAATGTGTTGTTATTATTTTAGATGCAAATGCTCTTTTTTGACAGCTTCTAAAAAAAAAAAGACACACACACACATAAACTAATTCTACCTTTTCCTGAGAGTTTTAAGTGGACTGTCTAGGTTAAAATGTCAATATAACACGATTCAGAGCATAAGAAGTGCATTTTGTGTTGTGCTTTCAAATGTTTTTCCAATGGCGACATCTTGTGGATACTGGGACGGAACAGCTGTTAAAGAAAATCTCACCAAGTCTTCTGAGGACAGAGAACAGGGTGTTATTTGGAACTGAATACTGGTTTTGAGTAGTACATCAGTGTTAATATCTAGATTCTTATATGTGGTACTTTTTATGAAACAAGGAAATTATAGCTGTACAAACTCACAGGTAAATGTTTAGGCTTAGAAATTATTTATGGTCCTATTTTTACACATTTTAGGGGTTAAGTGCACCATCTTCACAAAAGATGAAAATGTTACTATTATCGATGTGTTGTGTGTATGTATATCTGTGTCTATATATTTATTTAAGTTTACAGATCTTGTTGGTGGAGGTATTCTTTGTTTCCTTCAAGGAGTATGACTTCATACTACATGGAGGGAATAACTAGCCTGTCACACATTAAATGGATTAAAAACTCTTTCACTGAACGATCTCAAAATACAGCTACCTGTGAAATATGCAATAAACCATTTATTAGTTCCAGTGACCAGCTTTTGTCCAGTGTTAACTAGTATTTTTATGAAATATCTTGATTAATACATAAACTTAGAGATAAAATTTTCAGGTGACAGTAAGATTTACTGTGCAGTAAGTGAAAAGAAAGAAGACAGTTTCATTTTAGAGAGATATAAATCACCCAGATCAATAATCATATTTTAAGAAGTTATACTAATACTGCACAATCCATCTCACTGAAGAGCAAGGACTGCAGGTTAAACAGCAGAATGTCAGGCTGGTTTAGAGAGCAGAGATTGCTGGAAGACTTGCCCACCTTTTAGTCCAGGTATTGAGCATGAGTTTCTAGCAGAGCTCTGAAACTGGAGTGGTGTCTCTGCATTATGGTATCTCTGGGTACCTGAAAAGAGGAATACTGAGTAGAAAGCAAATGCCCCTTAAAGCAGTAAATAATATTGTGCTTATGCAGTTAGGGTGAGATTTAGGAAGGAAAGTTCCTACTGTTTAGGAGTTTAAAGAGTGTGTGTAAATAGTACGTATATAAATGTGGCAAGGTAGAGTATGCAAGCCCTGAACTCTACTAAAGGGGAAAAGGCAGCACTATATTCTATATAGAAGAAGGGGATAAGTAGTGCTAATCTCCCTGATAAGGGAGACTGCTAAATTTGGCTAATTCACTACAAAAAAATGAAGGAAGAGAGATTCAGGTAGGTAAAAAGTGATTCAGGCAGCTCAGCAGTCATTAGCTTGATTTCAGCAGAAAGTAATGCTCCAGACTGTAATTGGAAAATAGAAATAATTAAACATATGGTGTAATTGAATAGTAGAAAAAAAGTTGATGGGAATTTATCAACAGAGTTCATATTTTGTAAGAAAGCTGTCAAGAAAATGTGATGTATCTTATCTGAACTTCTATTTGAAGATAGGAAGTTAGCAGAACTGCAGAAATCTGGAAATAAAGGAACAGTAAGGGGGAACACCTGGTTAATTGTGAATTGTTAGTGAGAGTGCTCAGTAACTGACTCTTAAGATGGGAAGATATAAGACTGATTTTGACTGATTTTACATTACATAATTTTTATAATCTACATAAGACTGTGCTAATGAAGTCTAGTGAAAAAGTGGGTATTCTTTCCAATATAAAACAGGATCAGAATATCCTACCAAAAATCAAATGAAGGTTAGGGTAAAGTGTCTAGGACAAATTGTGAAATCATATATTTATGGACAAAGAATATTGAATTGTGGAAGGTGACTTTGAGAAGATTTGCTTATGTCTCAATTAGAATATGAGCTAGTCCATATTTTCAATTTCACATAATCTATGAACTATAAACTGTAGAATGTCAAAAGCCCTGGTAGGATGATCGATCGATCACAGTATCTACAGTTAAATACAGGAAAATAGAAGTAGTGAACTTCATTTTTATTCCTATGTTTTTATGAATCCAGATTGAAACAGGTGTAGAAGAGAATAATTGAGTGATATATGGAAGATGTTAGCAGGACATGGCTTTTTTTAAGCTGGTAAAATGAAGGTTGAGAGAGAGATGACTACTATTTTTAAGTATTTGTTGAATGTATATACTTAAAAGAAAGATGAGCTAGTTAAAATTATATTAGAACCAGTAAAAGAACAATTGGGGGTAAACTGGTCATCAGTATATTTAGCTGGAAAACCAGAGGGAGACCTTAAACTATTAGAGCTGTGAAGTTTTGTAAAAGTAGCAGAAATATCAGAGCTTCATATCCCACTAGTATGGAACTTGGAAACCGCCCATGTTCCTCTTGGGAAACCCAAGCCTTATTCTTCTCCACTGTCCAGGTTGCTCTTCAGTTTGAATCTCAGAATTAAGCAGAGCTGAAGTGTGGTGGCAGTATATGAATAGACCCACTATTAGAGTGCTGGAAATCCATAAGTCTTGAAAGACAGTCTTTCTTAATTTTTTATGTACTGTGCAACATCTTATTCCCATAAGGTTACCACCTTATCACTTATGAGAAAGATGATTTGCTGCTTGATAAAAGTTACAGCAATGAAAATTAATGAAAGTGTTTTCAGATACATTATCTCTTCTCAGAAATATTTTTCACTATCTAAAATTCTTCATCATGTGAAGATTTTATTGGCAAGCTTAGAACAGTAATATGGATTTGTGTTTGTAATAGTTGAAAAATTATGTTAAGGTAATAATTTCTGACTGAAATGCTAAGATGACAAACAAATATAGACTATGTAATAGCAATAGATACTTTATTTGGATACATGGATTAGATTGTATGAAAAAGTGTGTATTCAGCACATCAATACTCATGCTTTTTCCCCTGTGATCCCTAAGGAAAAGATTAGGGTTGAAGACAATAGATGATGTTTTCTCATTAGGTGGAAATTGATCTTACGACTTGAACTACGGGAACAGATTGTTACTTTGGCAGTTCATGAAATTCCACAATAAATAGAAATTAGATTCCTTCTCTAGTGTTGTATGAGTAAATTGCTATTTTAAACCTATAGAATTTATTTCTACCTTTGAGTATAACAAAATTCCAATTCAGGTTTATAAAGTTGATGGCTTTTTCTAAAACCTCCTCTTCTTTTTGTGTGGATTGAGTGATGCATTAGGAGGATAAGAAAGAAACGCATCTTAAATGGAGAAAAATCAAATTTGCATAGAAAATAACATATTTTTGTTATCTTTGTTCTGCAGCTACTGTGCTGCCTTTTACATAAAAGGCATGTAGTTAGTGAAGGGTTTTTTTTTTTTCCTTTTGGAAAAGAAAATGTTT